ATAAATACAAGTGGGAAGGACTGTACTAAATTGATACTCATCAATGAGTGTCTTAATCTACTATTCTAGAAATTAGACTTGATTAATTGAATAAATGAACAATCATTAATTTCATAACAGTATTAGTTTTTGTATGTGTGTGTGTGTGTGGTCAAAAGCAAATAGGTGAAAGCCAATAATTATACTAATAATATAATAATAATCATCATAATAATAATTTCATTCTTTTTCAATTCCTTCTTATAGGGTTTTGAGTCAAAAAGCCATAATAATGTGGACAGCTATGTGGTTTAATTTGGTCGCCATTCCTGGGAAAGAAACATGGTATTGGTGCTTTATCCAACATCTGCAGGTCAAGTGTTTGCTGCCAAATTTTTGTTGGCTCTTTTATTTTTCAGTGTTAAATAAAGTTGCATTGGAAGAGGGATATATGATCTCACTTGTGTGACCAAATAACTACCCTTAAATTGATTTTTGTTATATAGTATTAAAATAATAATAAATAAATAAATAAATAAAAATAACACACTAGGCAACACTCAACCAGGAAGTACTACAAGAATATGTGTTTTTTTAGTATAAACAAAACAAAACAGGCCATAAAAAAATATGATTATGACAACTGACAAAGAGAACAGCATATCTCATCAACTGATGCAGCCAAAGTTGTGAAAAGAAAAATGTTTTCTTTTGGTTCTCACCAAACCTATTTACTCTGGATTTTTATTTACACTGAATTTTAAACAAACATCATTTTTTGAAAGTGTATATTTAGTAAAACTTATTTGGAAATTCAAAGCTTGCTTTAAGCTTCAAATGAGGTATCAATTCAATCTAATTAACAAAATACTCCAATGAGAACTTGGAATAAGCTCAGTAACTTCTTGAAATGAAAGACGTAAATAACATCGGGTGAAACCTGTTAATCTTCCGCAATACCAACAACAAACCCAATAAAATCTCACAATCAGTTAAGGTAAGGTCTGAGGAGAGTATGTGTAGGCAGACCTTGACCCCACTCAAAAACAGAGAGACTATTTCGAGGGTACCCAAAACTCCAACAAGGTCAAAGTGGACCAACAAAGAAGACACAAGATCCAATTGAACAAAAGATCCATGTTGTGCACTTCTTAAATATATGAGATCAAAATTTACTACTATGTTAATGCTATACTAGTTCTATCCCTGAGTATTTGTCCAGTTTTGACTTTTTCCGGTCAATTATTTTCAACTTTTGATCTATAATTAAATGAAATATATATTGTATATTAATTAGATAACATAATGTTTGAAAATTAATTGATATAATAAATCTAATAAAACTAGTTTTCTATCAATATCTAATATTATTTTTATTTAATTTGAGGTCAAAGTTTATCAATTTTGACCAAAAAAAAGTCAAAAGTGGACAAATACTCAGAGAAGGAGGAAGTAGTTAACAACAATTGGCCTAGTGAAATCCCACAAAAAAGGAAAGTGTGGGGAGAGTGTGTATATTCAGACATTACCCCTACTAGAGAGTAGAAAAGCTGCTTCCAAGTAATGCTAAAGTTATTGGTTACGGCTTGGTTCCCTGACACTGGGACCAATGTTATTAGATGACCCGGGGGACCTATGGTGCTCCGTTCAAAAAATTGACGGTTCCTACCCCCCTAACCCTCTCCGATAAACCCACCCATCCCGGTCCGACTTGAACTCACCCCTCCACCCCCTTCAATCGCACCCTCCAATATTTGTTAACCTCATTGGCTATTCCAACGGCTATTAAAAAAACCTACCGCCTATTTTGGATGGAGTGCAGACAGTTGCTTGGTTTCCCCTTTGCTTCCCCAACCAAACACAAGCAAATTCCTTCATTGTCTTCCCCTTCCCAAAATCTCCAAACAAAACTAAAGGCTTACGCTTCCATCAATTGCATTCTCTTCATCTCATTCAAAACTTCTAGTTAGGAATCGAAGAGAACTATGGACAATTGGTCGTAGGAACACCAGCTCCCCGTTTTCAATCAAACCCGAGTTCCAAGTCTCAATTTTAACACACACTAAGCTAACTATCCATTTGCAATCAAATATGTGGACTTTATGAAAAGGGAAGATAGTACAAGTACAGAAGCATGGGTTTCCTATTTTGTCATATTTGAGTGGCAATAAATATGCCCCAACAAAGTTGAATCAATAAGTAAGTTATATTCCACATGCAATAATGATGCCAAGGCAACACTCTTTGAAGCCCCAAAAGATGAGACACAAGTACAACAGTCCATGATTAATAAGTGCAAGGAACACATATTCTCTGCTACCTGATAAAAAAATACTCACAATCTCAAGAAAAGTCTTACAAACTCACTCTATGCATCCTAAAATTTTCTTATTTTCTTTTCGGCATGTCCTATAAAATTTGTTTGTTTCCTTTTGAAGAAACATTTGTGAGGTTGATATTGTTTCTTTCATTTATAAATATACTACACCCACACAAGTTCAGTTTCTTAGTAAATGTGTCAAGTCTAAGTGAGAAGAAAAAGTTACAACATATGGAGTTTTTTGTATCCCCAAGAAAAGTCTCATTTATAAAGAGGCTAATTTTGATATCAATTGAGTCATATGTTATTATTCCCTGTGATAAAAGCATCCAAACAAGTATGAATTTCAGTCTAACATGAATCAAAATATTTGTCCAAAGGACACATACACAAGCCCACCCCACTCTCCTAGTCTATTTGCTATGTCTTTCTTCTTCTTTTTTTTCTTCCTCCCCTAAGTGGAACCCATGCAAAAGAGTTATGGGAGGAACTCTATGGAGTGTGTGATGTAAAAGAGTTTGTTTGATGATGTGGCAAAAAAGAAAAAGAAATGATGAACATAGCACTAAGAGAGCTACTATTGTGGATGGCCTAATAGTCTTGTGGGGAAAGTTGTTAGCTAGAAAGCTTGAAAAACTAGGAATCATCTACTTAAGAGATATATGCATGTTAATTGTCAAACCATATGTCCATATGAACATATTTTGTGTTCAGTAGAGTGGCAAGTAGCACTCCACTATATGAAGGGGGGCAGCTTAGGGATAAAACTGTGGGAATCCTTTCTTCCAACAGGATGTTAAGGGTTTACTTAGTGATGGGTGTTTGACTAAAATGACTGAATTGTTAAACTCTTTCTACTAACAAATTCTTGAAAATAAAGTTGAAAGTTATGGCATTGATATCAACTCCTGTCAATGGCTTTGCAAACCAGAAACTGATGCTTCACTGCTGCAGCACAGATCCCAAACAGCCCAGATCGACAGCATCATGTGTCAGTTGTGGGCTCGGTGGGGCGTGCCTCGCGTGGCGCTGCATGAGAGGAAGGTGAAGAGGAAAGGAGTAGGTCTTGTGTTTAGGCAGCTTGAATGTGGCAACATTGAGTGGTAAGTTTTTTAAGCTGGTGAATGTGCTTAGGAAAACGGCGAATGGGTATAAGCAGTGGTGTTCTGGCTTTGCAAGCATGATGGCTTACAAATGAGACAAATCCACCATCTAAGCACGGTTGTAGAGTCGACAAATTGAGTCGTTTGTGAACTGACATGTAGATAATTAGTCATAGGTCAACATGTGTAATTATTGCGGAATACATCTTCCAAAGGCAACAAAAATAGCAAGAACAAACGCAAAAGGTTAAATCTATAATTTGACTTTGAAGTATCTAGCTATCAAATAACAGAGTATACAAATCAAAAGAAGTTAACCTGGAATAGAAAACAAATGCAAGAACCCTAGGTCAAATAGTCCTTTAGGTCAAATATGACAATATTTTTTGCACATATAACCCCTGAAGGACCAAATATGGAATAATTTTTGAAAATTGAGGACCCTTTATGTAATACCATAGAATTGGGGACTAAATATGAAAAACCAACTGTAATTAGAGACCATTTATAGAATTTACTCTAAAAGAGAAAAGAAAAAAGACAGAAAGTCAAAACTGAGAAAGTCATAGAAGACCAAAGCTTGTGAAACAGGTCCAGCGGCAATAGGCCACGGGGTATTCGGATCTGACTTCTGTGCCGGCCTTCAAAAAGTTTACGCTAGCAAAGATATTTCCAGATTCCGTCCCTCCTCAGCATGATAACAATGCTTCTAAGACGCCCCATGGGAATGGGAAGATCGCGTAAGAAAGACATACACATGATATTTATAGATTTGAAGAAGCCCATGACAGTGTTCCACAAGAAGTAATTTAGAAGACCATAGAGGTTGAAGGGGTGTCATTGTCGTGTGTGAGGGCAATACAATATATGTCAGTGCGAGTCGGGACTTAATTTTTTCCAGCGGAAGTCAGATTACTCCTAGTATCTGCGTTGAGCTCATTCATCTTTTTGTGATCTTGGATGATATTTCTAGGGGATCCAAGAGAGCATCCCGGTGATGTTTTCTTTTTCGGACAACATTGCTCTGGCAATTGAGACAAGGGAAGGGGAGAACACGAAGTTTGAACGATGGAGAATGTCATTAGAAACATTTGATTTGTGGCTTTTACGCGAATGCATAAGGTTCAACCTTAGTTGGAAGCAAAATGAGAAGAATGAAGTTAGCATAGGGGATCAAATGATAGCGCAAGGAGACAGGTTCGCGTATTTGGGCTCAATCATCCAAATGGATGGGTTGATCAACGATGCTGTCAAACATCATATAAAGGTATGTTGATTAAAATGGATGGAACCCAAAGGAGTGTTTTGTGACAAGGTCTCATTGAAATTGAAGGTAGGTTCTCCAGGGTACTCATTCAACAAGCTATGTTGTACATGATCTCCGATAGGAGTTCCTTGGGACGCCAAATTAGGATCGTTAGATCGTTGTAGCGGTTGCGTCCAAGTGTTAGTTATTCTCAACACTACTCACACTAGATATTACTAATTGTTGGGTCCACCACAAAAACAGACCCCCTACTTCTTGGGGTGGAAATAAGAATCGCCTGCATCTAGCCCCAAACCTTACTTTTGACTGGGAATATGTTTGGTTTGGCATGCCTGAATGGTGAATTTTATTGGAAAAGAATTCAATAACATCCACAAAGAAAGGTGAAGATCAGAGCATATTCAATATTGAGAAGAAAAAAAACATACACAAAGAAAGTTTGAAGAACATGCCTGTGATATTCTGTCCTAAATGCATTTAAGGGTAAGAAGCTACATGCCTGTTAATTTTCACATGGCAATGCCTCGCCCTGCAAATTTAGCATTCTAACCAGCACAAAAACTACATTTGAAGTAGCCTAGAAACACAATAACGCGAGGAAGAGAGTTTCCCATACCCAATCATCCAAATTGTCTGAACTTGGACACAACCGTTAGCCCCTACAATGGAGCAGAGCCGTTGGCCTGAAGGACCCTTGTCCCTTTCCCCATCAACTTCTTAGAGCAATTCGCTGCCATTTTGTGCTTCGTCTTTACCACGGACATGCCCTCCAGGCAATCATAGCTGCCCTTCTCAATCACTTCCTGGGGCGGGGGAGGGCACACCGCCGCAGTAAAGACACATTGGCAGCTGAGATTCTGACACCTCAAGCAACAGTTTTCGTACTCCGCCGGATACTCATACAGGCAATAACAGTGAGTACATGCCGTCCAGAAGGCCTGGGTTTCCGATCCGTCCAGGGATTTCAGCTTCGTCCTCAGCTCTTCGTCGAATTTCGATTTCTGGTTAGGGTTCGAAAGGGTCTTCCAAGCCTTCCTGACGAGCGAGAGGGCCTGGTGGGAGAGGGGGAAGGAATTGGTGTTAGGGTTCAAGAGGGCGGAGAGGCGATCGAAGCTGGACTGGATTGCGTCGAGATCTTCGGTGAAACGAGGGACGCCGAGGACGAAGTAGTAGTCGGATTTCTTACCCGATCCGTCGGCCGCGCTGCTGATGGTGGAGGAGAAGGCGGACATGACGTCGGCAATGGCGATGAGCTGGGCAGGAGCCTGGTTGGTCGGGTCGGATTCCTGGGCGAGAGCGGCTTGCTTACAGCACTCCTCGAAGTTCTGGGCGGCGAGGGCGGACTCTGCGGCGGTGATGTAGTGTTGAGCTCGATTTCTGCTCCCCATGTTTGTAGAGAAAGAAGAAGAAACCCAGAGGTGGTGAGTCAGTCAAGCCTAAGAAAGAGCAACAGAAAATTACTCCTTAATAACTCCCACATCCCATGTTATTTTATAGTACCTCGCTCTCTGAGTATTTATCCAGGTTTGACTTTTTTTGGTTAATTATTTTTAACCTTTGATCTATAATTAAATAAAATATATAATATTTATTAATTAGAAAAAAATAATATTTTAAAAATATTTGATATAATACATTTAATAAAACTATTTTTGTATCAATATCTAATGTTATTTTTATTTAATTTGAGATCAAAGTTTATTAATTTTGACCAAACAAAGTCAAAAGTGGACAAATACTCAGAGACGGAAGGAGTAGTCTATAGGCATGTTTGAAAATAGGCATTTGGGATAAAAATTTGACAGTGCAGATTACTTTAAAAAGTCATTGTTCGTTAATAATTTTTTCAAAACGTTAACACTAATATTTATATATTTTTCCAAACAATCTTCTAAATATATTCTGGGATGCCCTTAATTTTCTAGTAAAAACTCTGAATTCCAAGCCTCTAAGCAACTCCAATGGGGAGTCTAAAAAATTACTTGGTAAAAGGACTAAAAGGTAATGTCCATCTCGTTCTTTTTACATAGAAAACCCATGTCAGCTATTAAGTGCTCTGTTTGTAAAATTGATGGTTCATATATCTTCTAACCCTGACCCGAACATACTCTCATATCCTTTCAATTGTACTCCCGAATTCATTTTGACTTTGAAGTTAATTTTGACTCTAAAGTCAAAATTAATTTGAAGATTCAATTGAAGGAGTGGGAGTGTGTTCGGGTCGGACGGGGTGAGGGAGTTTATCGGATAGTATGACAAATTAAAAATCACTTTGTAATAAAATTATGCCCAATACTTTTTACCCTTTAAAATTAAATGCAAATTTAGAATTGCTTTGCAATAAAAAAAATGGGCAGTCGATACACTTGAAGAAAATGTGCTTTATTTTTTATTACAGAATAAAAATTTTGAATAAATTCAAGAAAATTTTCAATATACAAATCATTTTTTCTTTAATTTATTTTTTCAAGGGAACATTGATTATCATTTTATAGCCAAAAATTTCTCAATTGACTCATACAGTATCGAGCAAAAAAACATAGAAAAATGCATAAAAGCGGTAAATAAATTTGAAAATTGGTACATGTCAAAAATTCTGCTCAGTCCGTAGATTGTTCATACAAAAAAATCAAGGAAAAAGATGCAAGAACACACACCTAAAGATGAAAGAGGAGCTAGAAGGAGATCACGAAGAAGGAACGGAGAATAGCTCAAATGAAAGAAAGAGAACAGAATCATCATAAATAAATTTGAAGGCTTCAACTATCTACAGTAGATCTTGTATATATGACGGGATAATAGCATGGTTGCCCCCGTGGTTTAATTAAAGGGCGTCAAAACCCCATCTGTTTTCAAAAGTTATTTGTAAAGTTCTTATGGTTTCTAAATATAGCACACATGCCCCCTTACTTATTTTTAAAGCAAAAATAACATTTATGCCCTTTCTTTTCCTCAATCTTGAATTTTCCCAATTTTATTTTCCTTTACTATACAAATATACTATGTATAATATAAAATATATGCTTCCCACCTCAAATTAAAATTTTCCACAATGTATTTTTGACAATAAAAGATTTTTTTTGGAGAATATTACAAAAGAAAATGAAAAATAAAATATTATGTACAAAGTAAAAATAGTAATTGAAAAAGGTAATGAAAAGAAAGAAAAATATAAAAATCGGTCTTTTCTTTAACTCCATATTTTTTTTCATCTTTTTGCTCTTCATTTTTTAAAATCCTTAAAAAACTACCCCGGAGTATTTTACTTTTAAAAAATAAATAAGTTAGAATTTTTAATTAGAGATAAAGTGAGTATATGTTCTCTAATTTTTTATTTTATTTATTTTACTTTTACTTATAATGAAAAAGTGTAGTTTATTTCATTTTTTAATTTTAAATTTTCTTTTGTAACATTTCATGAAAAACTTATTTTTTTGAAAATTAAATCAATGAAAAATTTTAATTTGAGAAAGAGGACGCATATATATTTTATTTTATTTTGTGTATAACAAAAATGCAAATAAAAAGTGAAATTTGAAGATAGAAAAAAATAAAGGGCAAAAATGTCATTTTATGTCTAAAAATAGGTAAGAGGGAGCGTCTTTGCACTATTTAAAAACCACAGGGATTTTACAAATTACTTTTGAAAGTAGAGGGGGTTTTCGCGTTCCTTTTATAAACCAAAGGGGGCACCATGCTATTACCCCTATATATGACTGATGTCAAACTAAAAATGCATTATGGTGCATTTTTAACCTTATCGGTTGGAGGCCCGAAAAGTGAACTGTAAAAGTAATTTTTTTTATATTTTGGACTTTACTAATTACTAGTAATACTTATATGATGGGTTGGTGTTGCTCTAATAGGCAATATTTGATAACAAAAGTCAAGAATTTGAAAACAACTAGCCAAACTCATTAAACATGAACACAATAGCTATTATCATATTCGGTACTACCAATTCTCATGCCTTATTGCCACCGAAATTCTAAAATCACCAAAAATACGAAACGTTGGTGTTGACCACCTTTGACTGACGGTCCACTACCAACCTTATCATCAAATTGTCACCATTCACATTGTTATATATTATCATTAGACTACCAAACTCATATTAAGATGATAAAAATAATGGCATTACTATATTACTGTTTTGATAACATTTTACACTTATCTAGAGACAATTTTTTGTTTTTGTACCATGTATTTAATTTTTGTAAATATTTGTGTTTTAAATGAATATTTAATTGGTATTAATCATAATTTAAATGATGAGCTAAGATCAATTTTGAAACTCTTTAACTTACTCCGTATATTATTCTTACGGAGTATATCGCATTTTAAAAAAACATTGATGTAGTTGAATTAGGATGGCAGCGGGTCGGGTTCGGCTCAGATATACCTTTACCCGAAACTGACCCGAAATTTGGATCGAATATTTTTTTTGCCTGGACCCGAACCATCGGGTATAAATTCCTACCCGAACCCGAACCCGAACCCGACTGTCTAAACCGAAACCCGAAACCGCAACCAAACCTGAGAATTTGACAAAAACCTAAGCCTAACCCGACCTGAAAACCGACCGACCCGACGACAAGAATTGCTGTTGTGCACTGTGGTCGCCGATGGAGAATGAGAAGAATCGCCGATGTGCCTGTAGATACGAGAAACCGAGAAGAAATATGGGGACTAGGGTTCCAAATCACTGAGATAGGCGGCCGTAAGTTAGTAACTCCCTTAGCTTTGGAGTTTTAATTGAAAAAGATTTTTAATTATATTTTAAAAAGGCCTTTGACTTCGGGTTAATTATCGGGTCGGTCGGGTACGGGTCGGGTCGGTCAAATTTAATTACCGAAAACCGACCCGACAACAGTCGGGTTCGGTTTTAAAATCTTCGGGTCGGTTTCGGATATTAATTTTTTCGGTCGGATTCGGATATTATATACTTCGGTCGGGTCGGAAAAAGTCGGATTCAGATAAAATTGTCATCTCTAAGTTGAATCAAATGAAATTAACATTTAACAATAATGTAACTATTCAAATACTTTGTATATTTTGAATTTTTATGTACATTACTTTGTACTCTGTATGTGTCTGGGTGTATTTGTGTATAATATTTTAATAATATCCTAATGAATAGTCTTGTATTTCTATTCATTTAACATTCAAATCAAAGCTTATATTTATATTTTATAAGATGACATTGATAATCAATGTCACTCCGGCTATCATTTAATTTTGAATAAATACTTGTTTAAATTTTTTATACAAATTTTAATACAATTTTAAAAAAAAAATTGGGGAAGGAGCTAGAGAAGTTTGTGGTAAATTTCATATAAGAAAGGAAGAATCACATTCTTAGTATTGTTTTTCATTCCCAAATATTTAGCACACTTGTAATTATTATTCCATCTTTGTAGGGTAACACAAATGCTTAGGACCAAAAATGACTCCCAACCACAAAATCACAAATAGGCAAATGAAATGGTAAAGGGAGTCAATCTTCGCCATGTGGATCTCCCGACACCCCTTACAATGATACCACATTTGGGTCATTCTTTTCATTTCCATAGTTTGTAGGAAAAATCTTCCTAGCAGGTTTTTTTGTCTGGTTTTTAAAACTCTTTCTCTTTTCCTATGATAATATGATGTTTGTTTGAGGAAGGAGAAAGAGTTTCCATCATTTCTTGTTTCAAGAAGAAGAAGAAGAAGAAATAGACAAAGGAGAAGAGAGAAAAACCCAAAGATTACAAAGATGGTGCAAAAAGGTGCAAACAATGCCTATTCATGGTGGTATGCAAGCCATATTAGGACCAAGCAATCAAAATGGCTTGACCATAGCCTTCATGGTAAATATTATATTTGATAGGCCACAACCTTTTGTATTAGTTATAGATGTTATATCATGACTCTTGGAGTCTTTGTGCGGGGGGTGGGGGTGGGGGTAGGGGTGGTGGGACACTCTCCGGACCCCAATGGAGCACCATATGGCGTACGACCCTTAAATAACCGGTGTCATAATATGACACATGATTGGTTTTGAAAGACACTTACTCAGATTATTATACACACATTGTCCGTAGTGAGTGTATTTATGCATAATAAGATGTGGTGAGAAATGCAGATATGGAGGATAAGGTGCAATACATGTTGAAGCTGATAGAACAAGAAGGAGACTCTTTTGCCAAAAGAGCAGAAATGTATTACAAAAGAAGACCAGAGCTTATAAGCTCTGTGGAAGAAGCTTATCGCGCCTTTCGTGCTTTAGCCGAAAGGTACGATAAGCTGTCCAAAGATTTGCACACTGCCAACCACACGATAGCCATTGTCTTCCCCGAACAAATCCAGCTAGAAATGGACGAAGACGAAGATGACTTTGGTTCACCTAAGCTCTCAAAGAATCTCCATGATTCTTCTAGAATCCCAAAGGGTATGTTTGCATTTTGAAAATCTCCATGATTCCTAGGGCCAGTGTCATAATATGACACGGGAGTCGAGTGTTAAAAGACACGGACCAGTGCCTCAAATGGCTTAGTGTC